TCGCCACAATAGCTGTAGTCACCTTATAAAGTTATTACAGTATTGCTGATTATATTCCCTATGCGGCACTTTCCATCCCTGTGATTTATTTTATTTATGACTGGAAGTTTGTATTTCCTTATCACTTGCCTCTTTGCAAATTTTCCTCTGTATTTTTTTTTCTTGAACTCAGGAAACTTTAGTTTTTAAAGTAATCTAGTATAAAAACAAGTTGAGATTAAAAGAATATGTTCAGTGAGTGAGTATGTTCAGCTTTGCAGGCCACATGGTCTTGATTGCAACTACATAACTGCCATTTTAGTGTAAAAGTAACCATAGATAATGTGTAAACAAGTGGGCATGGCTAAGTCCCAGTAAAACATTATTTACTTAAACAGGTGGTAGGCCAGATTTGGTCCTAAGATGATAGATTGCCAATCCAATCCACGGTCTAGATTCTACTTCCTTCTAGAGTTACTTTGGCCCATACTAAATTGTACCCTTCTAGATTTCCTAATGAACGCCCTGTGTATTCACCAAGGACTCCATAGTCTGGCTGATAGAAACTCAAAGATATGTGGCCCTCTGTGAACTCTGGCAATTTTTCAGCATATAACTCCTAGTTATTAGTCTCTTAGAAGTTGTTCTCAGTCTCTCTTTTTGGATTTTTATCCTACAAATATAAAAACTAGAATTTAAACAAAGACTTAGGCATATCTCTGGATCTCCTTCTCTGTATAGCACTCTTTCCCCCACCACCCAACCTTGAAAATTCCAGCTGTCCCATACTATCGCCTCTACAGTGTGTGACTCCATTTAATGCTGGGCTTATCCTATTGGAGTTATAGTCCAGAAAGTGCCTCCATACAGAAATCTAGGGGTGATCATAGGGTATGCCTTTCTTCATTTCTCTAAGGGATCACAAACCTGTATTTCCTGATGTTCAGTGTCTAAAAACACTTGTATATACTTTGCCTACGTTTCTAGTTGTTTATTGCTAAAGGATAATTTCATGCTTTATTACTGTTTCCTGCTGTGTATATGCTGGGAGCAAAAGTCTTCCTATTACTTATTTTGATACTCAAGTTGTCTCTGATTTGGCCAGTAAATTTCTCTAAAAGCTGCCCCCTTAAGCCTTTCATCATAATGCTATAATTTTTTGAGCACTTTTATTATTTTCTGGTACAAAAAAAAAAAAATCTAGGTTCATCTTGAAATTCTTTGTTCTTAGTTTCAAACAGACTATTTTCTCAGAGATCTGGCTCCTTGTAATGGGGAATAATATTTAAATATCAATAGAATTTGAGATAGAGGAGTGATATCCAATTATGTTAAAATACCACATGGTTTTATTTTGTTTAATGGACCATAGGGGCCAAGGGTAAGGCACAGAAATCAGAAAGGAAAGCATTATAATAAAATCACATAAAATGATGTTTCTTAGACCAAAATAGTAACAGTGAAAAATTATATATGTTATGAAATAAAAAGTTTTATACACACACAAATGTGCCCACCTTGGAACTGAGGATTGGCCCACCTTCGGCCAAAATTTGTTTGGATGCTAAGACTGACAATATTGATTGTACACTCAAAGGGTTGAAAATGTCCATTACTCACATAATGAGGCCTTCTGGGACAACAGGGTAGTTCCAAGGCATGTCCAAAGGCAGTTTTAGAGAACAAGGAAAGGAAATTGATTCGGAGTTTTCTGGTGGTTGGATGGTGGGACTGGGGTGAGAATTTCCGTGCACAGATAAGGTTTGAACTGCCTGCCAGTAAGGGGAGCACCTGGGCTATTGTGCTGGGTTTCTGGATGTGGAACACAAAGGAAGCACCGTCAGCACTCCAGTCAGACATCAAAACGTGGAGCTAGACCCTACCACACTGAGCTCCTTCTAAGATTTGTTTTTCCTCCGAGTAGCTGGGGTTATAGAGTTGCCATAAACACAGTTGAGGAAGGCTCTTCCCTGGAAGAGTTTGGAGGCAAAGAATCAGTTTTCATTCCAGTAAGTTAAGCTTCAGATGTTTCCAAGATTTTTTTGCATTGGAGGTTTTTCACTTTCATCATTTGTTCCTTTTTGCAAAAATAAACTGCCCAGGAAGAAGGGCTCTGTCTAATTTGAATAATATATTTTTTACTAAAAATCAAAGTGATAATAATGTCATAAAAGCTTTAATATCAGAATCACTTAAATATATACACCCTCCCCCTTAGTAGCTGGTTTCTTTGGACAGAACAACAGACATGGGAAATAATTTGGAGATAGGTAAATAACACTATCAACATTGTTGATAATTTTCCTTGATATTTGGCAAAATGTTTTATGGGTAGGAACGCATGATAGCAATGAAATTGTTTTTATTAATGTGAAGGGCTTTCTGTTCAAAATAATCTAATGTAATATTTAAATTGTTATGTTTTTTTGAATTACGTAGCTACATATGTTTTAGAAATTTTTAAAAATTATGATTATTCTAAAATACTGGCTATATCTATTGTATAATATATTGGGATCTGTGATGTGTTTCCATTTAGAAGCATGTTCAAATTACTTTCTTGTTTCAAAAGAATTAAATTTTGGTTTGATGCAGTCTCTTTGGAGAAAAGCATCTTTTTTTTTTTTTTAAAGGCACTTCTCTTTTTATTGGTACCGTCTAAGTGACCTCCTTAGAGATATAATTTAATTTTTAAATTTTTTTTAATTTTTTATTAACATATAATGTGTTATTAGCCCTCAGGGTACAGGTCTGTGAATCGCCAGATTTACACACTTCACAGCACTCACCATACCACATACCTTGCCCAATGTCCATAACCCAAACACCCTCTCCCCACCCTCCTACCCCCGGCAATCCTCAGTTTGTTTTGTGGGATTAAGAGTTTCTTATGGTTTATCTTTGGAGAACAGCATCTTAAGAACCAGTTTTGTTTTTACTCCCCAAACAAGTTGGAATTGACAGAATCAATACAAGTGCCAACTTGTGTAAAATTAAATGATCTAGTAATTTTACAGGTTCTCAACAGTCCCATGAGCAATAATGCATCTGGTAGTCAACACTACCATTTTTGTTTCTTGGTGGTCTGGCTTGGTGGTAGTTGACCTGGATCACTGCTCTTCTTTTTTTCAATAGATTTAAAAAAAAAAAAAAAAAAAAAAAAAAAGTTCAGAAGACAATAGACCTGGGTCCAAATTGCATCTCTACTCTTAAAAAATCATCAAGTTGCTTAACATCTATAATCATTTATTTTTCATTTATAAATGAGGGATAATGGACATGCTCTTCATTTCTGTGTAGTTCAGAATTGCTTTAATGTTATGATTCTGAGTCAGGCTCTGTGAATGAAACATTAAAGGCCTTTTGTCTTACCCCCAATCTGCTAAAACTGAACTGGTCAGAAATAAAAATAGTTTAATCCCACGCTGCAAGAAAGGAAAATGTTAGCAATTAACCCGGACAAGAAAGTTTTGTTAGAGGCAGAATGCATGGTTGAAACTTATTTTCAAAGGCTTTGCAAGTGTAAAGGCCATTTAATTAGGCAATTTTGAACAAACAGTCCAGAAACAGCTTAGCACACAAAATGGCTAGAAGCCTTCAGAACACTAGTCTTCTCCCCAGTGGTTTCTACATGGCATCCCATCCATGTCCTCCCACTGCTTCCCTCTTAGCCGTCTATTTTCTAAAATATGGGACTGATCCAGGACATGAAAGCTTCTTTATGAGATTTTGTCAGCAGTTTTCAGCAACCAGAACACCATCTAGTGAATCCCTGTATCACCCCCCAGATCCAATCCACACCTGTCCTTAGCTCCCAGACAACCTCAGGCCATTGAAGCTACCACACAGAAATAAAATAGGGAGGCATTATCAGTTTCTGTACATACCGGATGGGGAAGACAGAAAGGGAGAAAATTTCTGATACTGTAGAGTCACAGCAACTGAGGAGTGGATAATCCTAAGTTGGATCTTTGAATGACTTCTTCTACTAAAATATTGTTACCCTGGTGTTACACCCTATTGTAATATTGGAGCAGGATAATTATAATATCTTAAGCATACACACTGAACTGGTTTACCATTCCCAGAACACTGTATTTCACTCATTCATGTATTTGACTAGTATTTTCTGATCACCTACTAATGGGCAAGCTCTGTTCTAGGAACTGGGGATAGCAAGAGTAGTATCTCTAATTAGCTTAACTTCTGTAGGTTGTACTATTCTTTTTAATTTTTTTAGATAGAGAAACTAAACTCATCAAGGATAGGATGATGCAAGTCTCATAGCTGAGGAGGATCAATACCAGGGTTCAAACTCAGGTCTTCGGAAACATTGCTCTTTATTTTAAGCTTTCTGGAGGAAAAGAAAAATCAGCAAAAAATAAAACTATTGTTGACATTTCTTTGTAGGGAAATTATTTCTAAAATTCTAGGCAATTGACATATATGCTTTTTAGAGAAAAATCTGTTATAAAGTTGAATATTACTTATATATTCATATCCCTGCTTCTTTGGAAGTACCAAATACACACACACACACACACACACACACACACACACACACATATATGTATGTATTTGGTTTCTGATAAATATTGAAATGCATGGGTGGTAATGGAATGTGCTTCCAAATACACCATAATACATATGCTCTTAGTATCCTAAAGATTTTGTTTCAGGATAAAAAATGGACAGCCTCACTGGCTTTCAGATCTAATTTATATCCTTGAACTTAGCTTGCAGGAAATGCTGTATTTGAGGAGACTTGGGGTACTTTCCTAGATCAATAAGATGATACTTGATTTTTTTTTTTTTTTTTTTCATTTTGAATAATCCTAGTAAGCGATCTGTTGGCCAGAGCACTGGACAGGATCAGGAGAGAAGAGATTGGTGTCAGATAACTCATACTCCTAAGAACACCATGTTTCTTTATATGTTAAAGTAAATCACTCTTACTAGCTTTTAAGCTCAGTGATGAGTTAGTAGTGTTTCCTCATCTTCGTTTATTTTCTGTTTTCTAGGTTCCTGCCCCCGTGGCTATCGGGAATGTCAAAATGGCAAATGTTATAAACCAGAGCAAATCTGTAATTTTGTAGATGACTGTGGAGATGACACGGATGAAAATGAATGTGGTACCTCCTGTACTTTTGAGAAAGGCTGGTGTGGCTGGCAAAACTCCCTGGCTGAAAACTCTGATTGGGCTTTGGGAGTTGGCTCTCATCAGAGCCTACGACCTCCCGAGGACCACACACTTGGAAACAAAAACGGTAGGTTTTCCTCATCATAGTCACAGTGTTGTCATCTTGTTGTCCTCCTGGATAGCTACTGGAGAGCTCCGGAGAGACTAGTGTGGGGTCATGGCAGGCGAGTCCAACGTTTGACGAGTGTGTTTGTCTCCTGGGGCTGCCATCACAAAGTACCAGAGATGTAAACCACAGACATTTTCTCACAGTGCTAGAACGTAGATGAGCAAAATCAAGTTGTCAGCAGAACTGGTTCCTTTTGAGGGCTGTCAGGGAGAGTCGCCTATTCCATGCCTCTCTCCGAGCTTCTGGTGGTCTCACACATTACTTGGCTTATAGGTGGCGTTCTCTCTTTACATTGTCTTCTCTCTATGCATGTCTGTCTCTGTGTCCAAATTTACCCTTTTCATTACCGGACAAGGGCCTACCCTGATAATTTCGTTTTAATTTGATCGTCCACAAAGGTCCAAATAAGGTCATTTTCATAGGGACTGGAATTAGGACTTCACCATTTTTGTGGGGTTGGGCGGGGAGACACAATTCAACACATAACAGGGAGTAACCAAAGTTTAGTATTGTTCTGATCGTTGTAGATAGATGATAATGTATGCTGCCATTGGGCACCTTTCCTCAATGACTCATCTTTATAATTAATAACCCTGACTTCTGCCACTCATTGGATCATTCACATGTCCTGTAGCTTTTCAGATTCTCAAATTTCTCATCCAGAAATGGAGAGAATCCAGTTTTCCCTGTGTCCCAAGCAGGGATTAGAGAAACGAGATGATACGTGTGAAGGGAAAGCAGGTTTGGAAGCTGTAGATGGTAACGTGCAAATTAACTATAAGGTCACACCTGTCAGATGTGTTAGAATGCCTCATTTTTGCAGTGAGTAGATGAGGTCTAGTCTCAGACTCCTTGGTCAAAGGACAAAGGATGTCAGCAGTAAAGCAAGGACCCTGAATTCCTGGAAGCTTCAGAATAGGAAAGAAGGTGTCTAAGAGTAGCAACTCCTCATGCCTATGATATAGCAAAACCCTCCAAGCCAAACTGACCACACCAGAGAAAGGAAGTTCTGAGCTCCATGCAGACACTCCGCTGTACATGTAAAAAATGTTTCAAATATTTGGATACATAAATATAAAACTCAGGGTCTTCCATGTAACATATAAGATTCTCAGCATTTTATTTTTGCTCTCAGTAGATGACTGCATTTTTGGAAGTACATTGTAATTCCTTTATTTTTCATAGATAATATCTTTGCATTGTTTTACAAGAACTGGAAGGTATAGCGAGTCTGTTAAATGATATCTGTAACTATGTTGTTGACTCAGTCACGTATATATCCTGTCACATCAGTTAATCTGCATACTGTGAGGTACTTTGCTCAAAGCACAGACAGTTGGAAATTGTTCTGTCCGTGAGCTAGAAGCAAGGCTATTCGATTTTCTTTCTGTTTCAAATGCAAATGCCTTTGGCAGCTCATATTCTATGAACTATAGTTAAAACCCCTAACTAAGATGGAAAAGCTAAAATAATCCCCTCATTGTTTCTGTCGTATCTGAATGCTGTCCTCCTTCCTAGGGCACTTCTTGTACCTGGAGGCCACTCCGGTGGTCCTTCGGGGCGAAGAAGCACACCTCAGGAGTGCTGTGTGGCAAGAATCCAGCACTGCCTGCACCCTAAGCTTCTGGTATTTCATATCTGCAAAAGCAACAGGCTCCATTCAGGTCCTCATTAAGGTAGGATCCTTGTCCCTGATGCCTCTCAGCTTAGCGAAGGTTCCTACAGGCAGCCTCTGGCCAAAGGGAGTGTTCACAATTCAGCTACCTTGACCAGAGGACGCTTCTTTCATCATGGGGCACTTCTATTTGGGGTTCAGATGCTCTGGGGGGTTTGATAAGCAGGGCATGGGAACTAGCTTGGAGCTCAACATCAGACTCTGTGGTTATGACTGAATCCCAGAGATTCCTTTTATGATAACATTTAGTCGAAGACTCAGATTTCTCCTTGCCATCTCGGCATTTCCTTCCCAGTAAAAGAGATTCGATTATCTGTACATCTTAAGGGAGAATGAGTATCCATTTTTAACTCCTGTGTGAGCAATCACGAAGGGAACTAATATTAGACATTTGGGTTCTAACCATACCTTGCCACGGACTGAACCGGTCAGAAGAATGATCAAGGTGGGATTACATTGAACTGCTTATTAACTATGACACAATAATGCATTTTCTTAGAGAAATTAATTGGATGTTTCTGTCAGGGCTTTAATTTAGTATAACAAAGTGACAGTGTTCAGGGAGCAAAATAGCAAAGTATATATTAATATTAATAGGACTTGGTTCATATACCTCTATTCTTTGACAAGTTAAAACAGCAGGAAAAAGGAGATGAGTTTGCGTGTGTGTGTGTGTGTGTGTGTGTGTGTGTTCATTTAGAGAATTTGGTTAGAATTCCAAGAAAGCTGATTTTAGAAACATGCTGTTGAGGCCACTGCTGTTTTTTCACACATGAGCTTGCCTGGAGTGGCCTAATGCCATCGGAGAATGCCTAACTAGAGTGCCACAGGGCTCTGATGTCTGACGCAATGATGGCTGCATAGTCCGTGTTTTATCCGAAACCTGAGGTAACTTCATAATTTTGGATTCTTCTATAATCAGAAATGCTGATAAGATACATGCAGCAAATACCACAGTGAATTATGCTTCTATCTAAATAGAGAAGCCTAACTGTAGTGCTGGAAGTTCTCACAAGAGTCTTTTGCTTGTACATTACTGAGCATGACGCTTGGTGACACAGTGAAGGATTTTGCATGTGAAGGACTTTGTACCCCTCTGTGGGTTTCACTGTTGGTATTTGCTCCCCTCATGTTCACCTTTAATCTTACATCTCAGTAACAAACTTTTTATTACTGTGAAATGTAAAATGAAGCTATCTTGCGAGGTAAGTCTTCCTGTGAAGTCAGGTTGAACTCCTGTGGTTCCTCCAACGGATTTCTATGGGCATTTCACAGCATTTTTAAGGAACTATCTTCCTACCATATTTTTTAAAACACAGTAACACTTGCTCAAAAGAGAAATCTTTCGTCGTGTATATTGATTTTACATTCAGGATCTTTAGGGCAGTCATTTTTTTTTTGGTAATTAATATGGTAAGTATTTTTGATCATCATTACAAAGTACTTCTTAGGCTGCTCTCTGTGTGGAACCATGCTGGGTTTTAACCTGCTCATTAAGTTGAAAGCTTCCTAGCCAGATGGCAAACACAATAGGGGCAGGGATTCTGCCTTTTCTTTCTCTACCTCTTCCTTTTGAAATGGTCTCAATTTATGCATGTGTTGCCTCTGGCTCAGTCTCCCCTGTCTGTTCTCAGGAAAGTCTCCTTCTGTGTTTCCCTCTTTTGCCGCCTACCAAAGCTAACACAATCTGGCAAATTCAGCTTTTCACAAAACTTTCCTTGACCACTTTTGCCCACCACGATTACTCCTTCTCAGAGTGTCCCTCATAGCTCCAGAAATCTTCTTTCTCACTAAAGGTTCAATTATATGTATTCTATTCAACAGGTAGGTCATAAAATTGTGAGAGCAAGACCTTGAAGTTTTAGTCTTTATGTCCCTCTGAGCTCTTCAGAGAAGGGACTGCAGGAAAGGAGAGATGTCCTCCTTGAGCTCACGGCCAGGCTCAAGGCATCCCTTTTTGGGACAGTCCTTATGAAGGAATGACTGTTATGGGTAACATGCACAACAATAAATTCTAGTCTGGGGAAGCAGGGGTGGTGGTTCAAGCTTAGGAAGACCCTAAAGACAACCCCTTCCTTTATATACAACAGATTTATATCTACATATGTAATTTTCCTCTGTAAACAAACAAAAACCCCTGAGAACTAGACGACTAGCATTTCCAGAACAAAAGACAGAAGAGACTTTGAGAAGGACAGGAGAAGCAGAGACACATCCTTCCTGGAACTCTACCACAGATGCAGTGATCCCACAATGGGAGGGATCCCCAAAATTTGGAATCTCCCTCAGGGAGTAAAGAGCTTGTTCCCCACGTCAGGCACTCTGACCTTGAGTGCTAGCACCAGAAAGATGAGCCTGCTAAATATCTGATTTTAAAAATAAATGGGGATGAAGACCAGGAGAAACATCGAACTGTAGGGAACATATACCCCACTTGAAGAAGGCTCACTGCAAACCCACTCACACTGAGATCTAGCACAAGAGGAACAGACTGAAAAGTACCTAGACCATAAGCAGGGGAGATCCGTTTACTAATTTTAATATGACTGCCAGGGAAGCGAGAACGTGTGAGGATTTTATCCAGGGCTGGTGCCTGCCATTTTTGCCAATCATCCTAACTCCCTGGTGACAGAACATGGGTGCCATTTTCGGTGCCCTCTCTCTAGCTAACGCACAGAGGGCATGGTCCGCCCTCCCCGTCATATAACCAGACTGGGGGAAGCACCCCATGTTCCACTCACCCTGTACATTTCAGAGCTGCAGCAAGGCCAGGCACGTACCAGGAACCCATCTTCCCCATGCAGTAGTCAAGGCACAACCCGGACAGATGAATGCCCTGGACCCCAGCCACCCTGTGCACAACTGAGATGGGTCAGCGATGTAAGCCCCGATCTCCCTGCACAGCAGCTGTGGCTCTGAGCCAGCATAGTCATGCAGTCCATAGAGTGCCTGGTTCTGGTGGCCAAGGGAGGTGGTGCTTCTGGATCCCATGCAACAACTCCTCCATAAGACCATCCTTTCAAGACCAAGACGGGTAGCCATTTCACCCAATATAGAGAGAGAAATAAAGAGAAACAAAATGAGCAGAGAGAAAAGTTTATTCCAAACCAAACAATAAGGGAAATTCTCAGAGAAAGACCTTAATGAAACTGAGATAAGCAACACCCTTAATAAAGAATTCATAGTAATGGCCATAAAGATGTTCACTGATCTTGGTGGAAGAACGGATGAACACAGCAGGAATTTCAACAAAGAGATAGAAAAATAGAAGAAAATAACCGAGCAGAAGTTAAAACGGCACTGAGAAATAACACTGTAGGGGTTCAACAGCAGAACGGATGGAATAGAAGCATGAGTCAGTGAACCAGAAAGAGAGCAATGGAAAACACCCAATCACAGCAGGAAAATGAAAGCAAAAAAGAATTTTCAAAAAGACAGGACGCCTTAAGGGACCTCCAGGACAGTATGAAGCAGAATAACATTTTCATGATAGGAGTCCCAGAAGGAGGAGAGGAGGAAGGGCCAGAAAAATTCTCGAAGAAATGATGGCAGAAAACTTTTCCTAATTCCGGGAAGGAAACAAATATCCAAGTCCAGAAAACCCAGAGAGTTCCAGACAAGGGGAACCCAGGGAGGCCTGGGTGGCTCAGTCAGTTGAGCGACAAGCTCTTGGTTTGGGTTCAGTCGTGATCTCATGGGATGTGGGATCGAGCCCCACATCAGGCTCCCACACTCAGCGGGAAGTCTGCTTGAAGATTCTCTCCTTCTGTTCCTCCCTCTGCTCTCTCTCTCAAATAAACAAACAAACAAATAAATTTTTTGAAAAAAGAGAAAAGATGAACCCAAAGAGAAACACACTGAGACACATTATAATTAAAACGGTAAGAATTAATAATAAGGAGAAGATATTAAAAGCCAGAGAAAAGCAACACACTGTATGAAAGGGAACCATTATAAGGTTACCCGCAGGTTTCTCAGCAGGAAGGTTACAGGTCAGAAGGTTGTGCACTGCACAATAGATGCAAAGTGCTGAAGGGAAGACTCCCAACCCATTCAGAGTTGAAGACAAGATTAAGAGTTTTCCCGGAAGCAGAAGCTAAAGTATAGTTCATCACCACTGAACCCGACCATACACATAGGGAATGTTAAAGGGGGTCATCTAAGCTAAAAAGAGAAAGGCACAAATGCTAGTAGGAAAACACATGAAGTTGAAAACCGAACTGGAAAAGACAAGTCATCAAGATACTGATTTACACCTTACAAAGCGAGTATAAAAGGTAAAAGACAAAAGTAGTAAAATTAGCTAAAACTGCAATAATTAGTTAAGGGATAAATAACACAAAAAGATGTAAAATGTGTCATCAAAGATATAAAATGCAGAGGAGGGGAGTAAAAATATAAAGCTTTGGAATATGTTCAAAATTAACTTACTGCCAACTTAAAGGAGACTGTTAAATATGTCTTGTATGTGAACCTTACAGTAACCACAAATAAAAAACTTAGAGTTAAGAACACAAAAGTAAAAGACAAAGGAATCTAAATGTAAAGAAAATAAACACAAAGGAACAAACCAAGAAAAGAACAGAGGTGAGTAACAAAAATAGCCAGAAAGCAATTAACAAGATGACAGTAAGTCCATACTTAATTACTTGAAGTGTAAGTGAACCAGTCTACAATCAAAAGACAGAGTGTGGCTCAATGGATATGAAAAGCAAGATTCTTCTATATGCTGCCTTATCAAAATTTCAGTGAGCTGTCACCTCAGACCTGTCAGAATGGCTTTTATCAAAAACACAAGAAATAACAAGTCTTGGTGAGGATGTGGGAGCCCTCATGCACGGTCGGTGGGAGTGCAAACTGGTGCAGCCACTGGAAAACAGTATGAAGTTTTCCTAAAAAAATTAAAAATAGAACTACCATATGATGCAGCAATTCCACTTATGGGTATTTATACAAAGAAAGCAAAAACCATGATTGGAAAAATATATATATGCATGCCTG